CATTCTTGAGAATTTATTATTTATGTACACACATACAACACAAAGGATAATACATATATAAAAACAGAGTACATAGGCCCCGCATATTCTAACTGGAATTTCTTCCTGTGGGCCTGTGGCAGGAAAAGAAATACTGACACCGAGACACATAGTGTGACATACACTTATTATATAAAAACCAATTTAATAAAGAAATAATACCAAAGAAAACAAAAGAAATAACAATAATGATCAATAAAACAAATTAATAGAGAATGTTACATCATAGAAAATATGATTTAATTTTTTAGTTACAGTACGGTTTTAATGAGGTCTGATGTCCATAACGGAGGTAGTGAATAAAATTAGATGATATTGGATCGATCTGTGATCAAGAAGGGGTTTTTTAAGGGGGGAAAATAATTGAATGCTCCCAACTAGGTGAGGTGGGAGGGAGTGTCAGACCCTTACTGACTAAAAACCACCCCGTTCCTTCTCCTGCACGTCGAGCCGGAGCCCCGGTTACCCGTTAGGTTCTCCGCGACAGGGGGTAAAATTCCAATTGGGGTACTTGCCAACTAGTCAAATTCAATACTTTTATTCGAACTGTCAAAAACGACAGTTCTCTATGAATTTTGTACGAGATTGTGTATTGTGACATCACGTTTTTTTAGCGTCAAACAGCATACTACTTATTTGTTAATAAATTACTGGAAAAATACTAAAATTAAGTCGATCATAAAATAAATCCGATCAACTGATATATATATTGTGAAATTTCGTACTCTTGAGTTGCAACACTAGCGCCCATTGCATCCTTATTGCGTGGATATTGAATAGTACATTCATATCAAATTTGGCTTTATATTCCGTACTCTGAATGCTATTATAACAGCTACGATCGAGGTTGTATAATGTTGACATTGAATAATTATAATAATAATATATTATAATTATATTTATTTATGTATGTATATCTCTGAAATAAATTAGTTTATCTGTCATTGTTCAATAAAATCACTGCTTGCCTCTTGCACCTACCATTTACTCTACTCTCTGCATCACCCAAAGGTCAGACTGGTAGAAAATGCCTGCGGCATTAAGTCCACCTTTTTGTACATTTTGTGCATGAAGCATATTAAATAAATAAATAAGTAATTATTGAAATTGTATTAGATTGACATTAAGATTGGTATCAAGAGTAAGCTGTGGTCTATCAGCACCTTTTTGTACAACTATTTACAATAATCTGTACTCGGAACAACTTCAAAACTAATAATAAAAGACAAACACATCTAAATGTATAACGCAAAAACCGTTTTTAATAAGATCTTAATTAACTTGCAATGTTATAAACAAACACGGCCACACATCAATCTATACAAAACCAGTTTACCCTGGTGTCGCGTCGCATCATCTTTCCGCACATTTAACGTTCAGTTTATACTGGTTATGTAAAGCTCGATGTGTAGCCGTGTGTACGTGTGTGAAGAGTCTTGCAACTAAAGGATAACGTGCAAACATGTATGAGAAATGTATCTACCGACCTGAGGGCCAAGCACGAATAACTATCGCATTCGTATCGTAACAGTATCGAGCGAGTTAAGCGTTCTGATTGGTTGCTTCACTTGAGCCGGCCAATCAGAGCGCCGAACGCGCTCGATACTATTACGTTACGAATGCGATAGTTATTCGTACTTGGCACTCTGTATCAAATAGACGTATGTCGTTAGAAAAGTCTTTTCATGACTATCATTTGTATTTTCTATACAATACATATAATAAAATCGTAGGAAATTGAAAACTGCACATCGAATATTTTTTTTTAAAGAAAGCTTTGGTCGTGATCTCCAGTCTACCGAAACAAAAAATATTTTTCTCTGGTTTGTCTGTATGTATGTCCGGGATGAACTCAAAAAGTGCTGTATAGATTTACTTCAAATTTTGCATGAATATTACTAACAAGTCGGGTCAATCGGAATCTTGATAGGATGAATTATCATGCTATCAACTACGGCAGAGGAGCTGTGAATCACTATTCCACGCAAACGAAGGTTCGGGCCCAAATAGTTTTTAATAAAACATAGCATACCATTTTCCCCACAACGAGTTAAGGCTAGCCCCCATAATAACGCGTCTCAAAGAGCCATTAGACCACCACAGATGGGGCCCGATAGGGCTGATTCCGATACGGAGCCGCGGAGGACTTAACGGGTTGCAGCAGCTCCGGCTCGAAGTGCAGGAGTAGGAACGGGGTGGTTTTTAGTCAGCAAGAGTCTGACGCTCAACTCTCGAAGACATTAGATGATTTTCTCCCTTAAAAAAAGCCCCCATAATAACAAATGATAGTAATGAAAAGAGCTTTCTAACGACATCTGGTCGGTAGGTACATTCTGTTCATCATCATTTTGAAGCATACATCTTCAACCGATTGAGCTGCAATTTTGTATACCCGTTTAGTTTGCATGACAATAAATGCTAAGCTGCATAAAGGGCTTGATTTAAAAATGTATTTAACTAATCTTGCATTGGATAAAACTATTGTTTAACAGCCGAAATGAATAGATAACAATTCAAAATGTCTGGATAACACCTGTACCTATGTTTTCCACACAAACTCCATACAAATATGTGTATTAATGTCGAAAATCGATGTAAATCCAAAGACTTGGGAATGAAATCAATTCATTTTGGGTGTTTAACATTCAGATCTAATATTATATTATTATCTAATGTTAGTCTATTTAGGTTAAATTACGATATAAGTTAGGCTCTAGACAGACGGACTGTACTTCAACCATAAATTGCAGTCCGATTGCAGTTCTATTGCAGTCATGACCAAACGATTGCAAATCAAACGAGTGGTCCGATTGCAGTTCTATTGCAGTCATGACCAAACGGTTGCAAACCAAACGAGCAGTCCGATTGCAGTTCTATTGCATTCATGACCAAACGATTGGAAACCAAACGAATTGTCCGATTGCAGTTCTACTCGTATTGCAGTAATTACCAAACGGTTGCAAACCAAACGAGCACTGCGATTGCAGTTCTATTGCATTCATGACCAAACGATTGGAAACCAAACGAATTGTCCGATTGCAGTTCTACTCGTATTGCAGTAATTACCAAACGGTTGCAAACTAAACGAGCAGTCCGATTGCAGTTCTATTGTATTCATGACCAAACGGTTGCAAACCAAACGAGCAGTCCGATCGCAGTTCTATTGCAGTCATGACCAAACGGTTACAAACCAAACGAGCAGTCCGATCGCAGTTCTATTGCAGTCATGACCAAACGGTTGCAAACCAAACGAGCAGTCCGATTGCAGTTCTATTGCAGTCGTGTATAAACTGCGTTCAAACTGCAATTTGCATTTTGGATTGCAGTTGAAATGCGGTGTCTTAGAGCTTAAATTACAACTCAGTATAATTGTTTTTTTATAATAACGACCGATTGAAATACTAAATTAACTATAAATAACGATTGACTCACGTAAATATTATGTTATAGGTAGGTAAGGTAGGCCACGCGACGTCGCCGCGCGCTGATATTAAGGAAGAGTCCCACTATGACTCGAAACTTGTTAAGATTATCTCAGTATATTTAGGGCCATTTTTTCAATCATCAGTTAACTCTTAACTGAGGATAACTTTGAACATTTGACAATTCTTCCATACTAAAAACTGTCAAGTATCAATGTTATTCTACAGTTAACTGATGATTGGAAAAACGGCCCTTACGTGAGTAAGCCGTTATTTTTATTTAATTCAACATTATTATATTATATGGCCACTAGATGGCTCTGGTGAGCTGGTGAAAAGTTAGTATTAAATAACGCATATTGGTGACAAGAGCTATATTCTGAGTATACAATAAAAAAGGTGGTTATTACGTCAACCTATCCTCTTCTATCCTTTATTCTATTACATCTAACTTTATTGTACTGCCATAAAGTCGAAAATCCATTGAATTTTGACAGATTGGGGTAGGTTGCTGGTACATATTTGAACTATGGAAAAATATTCAATAATGTGTATATGTGTTTTTGTGTTTGTGTGTTTGTGTGTGTGTGTGTGTGACTAACTTGTAAGTATATTTTTGTCAATATGGTTGATGTTGAGGTATAAAAATTAATAATTTAATTAGTCCGTCAGTTAGGTAATGAAAAAATATTAGACACGTATTTTTTTATTTTGTCGTATAAGACAACAATAATTTGATAAACCGAATCAAATTTCAGAGCCAGCACGTCATTTCTACGTATAAAATGTACCTAGAAATGACGTCACGCGATATTTCAAATCAATATGGCGTCGAAGATAATTGTTTCTGTAAGAAAACAAAAAATACGTGTCTGATGTTATAAAATAATCTACCAGACGAACATTAAGCCAAAAATTAGTCATCTACCCTATTGTACTACTTACTTGTGCATTTTAATTTGGGGGTCTAAAATATGCCCACTAGGGGTCATATGACCCCAATTTCGTGTCATTGCATATCTTCTTAGAATTATAGCAAGTGCAGCATCACTTTTGAATTTGATTGCAATAATGAATCACCATCAACAGCCTATAAAGTTCTCACTGCTGTCCAAATGCCTCTTACAGGGATGGAATGAGCATTAATCACCACGCTTGCTGAAGACGGATTGGCGATTTAAATTATAATTCTAATGCCGGTATTCACCAACCTCTCCTAAATATTAAGGCTCCCCTAAGGTGTGTGTGACACTAAACGACATTTCAGTGTTCGCCTCTATAAGAGATACCTAATAATACAAGTAAGAGGTTAAGTTAAGGTGCTCCGCCTCGCAAAGGCAAAGTAACTCTTAGTTAAGAGATGATTTAAAGATAGTTGGTGAAAACGGGCACAAGTATGAAGTTTCACAATTTCTTCAATATACAGAAAATAACTATTATATTTAAAACAGTGCATTATGACCCCAACAAAATTAACTATTGACCCCCCTCGGGTCAAATGACCCCAAAATGACAAACCAATAAATAAAATCCAGTTTTTTAATCTGTTTTAGTCTTAGATCCTCGAAAAGGCCACATAGCGGTGGCTGGAGTTACTCTTAATAACAACATGGGTTTTATGGCCGACAGTACGAAAAGAGACGCGTAAAATTTCATGGCGTCCGACTTGCAAATATTATCTTGTATATGTTGGAAACCTACTAGCATAGTTATTGTTGTAAAAGCCGATATAACCAGCGACCTATTTTTTGTGTAATGTCTGTACCTGGAACAAATAAAGAATTGTAAGAGACCTATTGATTTGAGTAATTTAATACTTTCATTCTAATGTAGACAATCTAGTTTCCTTATGGCATCGAGCATTTCTTTCTTTATTGAAACAAAGAGTTTCCTTTTTCTTGTATAGAAGCACTAATTCTATGGATTGTCAGCATATGTGAGCACCATGTTGGACTTTAAGATTTTTTTTTTATTTTTTTATTTTAGCAAGTTATTAGTATAATGCGTCAAGCGTGTCTTTGCATTGTTCTTACATATGCGTACAGTATTGAAATATGTATCAGAGACATTGTACAACATACTTTTTTTAAAAGAGTAACGAATGGAATTTCTTGCTTGTTCTTCTCCATTCGAATCTACATTTTGGAATGAGCTAGCTTCACCTAGTTTCACTGACGGACTGGCGGACAGACTATTATTTATTTTGTATTTGTTGACGTTTCAAAAGTACCAAACTATGGTTTAATTGAAATAAATGCTTTGACTTTGACTTTGAGTAAAAAGCCTTCTTAGGCTAAGTTCACACGGCGCGTATTTCTCCCGCGTCTGCCGTGGCTGCGGGCCTTTGTAGTATACAGATATGTATGTAAAAAATCAATGCAACTTTCACGACTATTTGAGGCTCCCGCTGTACCGGCGCGCACGCTCTGCGATCGGTTGGCAGGCGATCACAATGGGACGGCCGGTCTGGGACTCAACTGATTGTTTACCCGCCCGTCTGTCTTGCGATAATCAACCGCCAAGTTTGCGGGCGATATTCGCAACCGCGGCGGAAGCCTGCGATCTCGTGAGTTTTGTCGATCTCGTGAGTCTAATGAACTTTCATTTTCCTAAATGTTGGCTACCGCAGGTTACGGACTCCATATAAAATACATTAGTTTTAAGTTTCATAAGATTGGCAGCGTATTGATTCTTTCGTTTGTTTTACTCGCCGTTGCAATTCCAGACCTGGAACAACAATCTGTGGATCACACAAAGAGTTGTTCCGTGCGGGAATTCAACCCACGATGCGATAAATGGCAGCCAGTTGCCCAGACATCGCGCCTATCGAGCAGTAAAAGTCAATATTGTTAAGTCAAACATCGCACTTACTCAGCCACAGCAGGTGTAACACAGAGCGCCCATCCAAGTAAGCTCCCCGTCGCGTGTACTAGTGCGTATAATGGGGTCGTTGACACTCTGATAGATTCCGGATTCTCACACCAACGGAACGCCTGTAAAATAAAGAAATATAACATTCAACATTAATTTGTAGTACTAAACCGACTTCGAAAACTAAAAACAAAAATAAAGTAAAAACTAAAAAGCAAAAACTACCTATTATTGATCATACGTGCTTATAGCTTACACCCACTGATAAGCGAGAAGTCGGTGCCTTTTTAATATTCCCCTCGGTTCCCCTAGGATTTTATCATCAGATCCTGACTTGATGACAATGGGAACAAATGACAAGCCTACCCTTTGAAATAATTTTTGAAATCGGTCCAGCCGTCTTCGAGTCTTCAAAAAAGAATACAAAGTCGAAACAATCTTCTTTTTTTTGAATTCGGTTGAAAAAATGATTTCCATTTACATAGTTCATAATATAAACTTATTATTTAACTATTCTAGATTATGCTTCATTTACATACCGCATAAAACGGCCATATAAAATCAATCGGGGCTAATGACCCCAAAAGCAACGTAAAATGGGGGTCATTAGACCCTCACTTACCAATTTCACAGTCCACTGTGGGTCTAAACCGCACCATAATAAACTTAGATACGTGAGACCAGCTACTATAATTGTTGTTACAGCGCCTAAGACGTGCCACGCTACCGCTCGTCTAGTTTCGTACGTCGCATGGATCCCATACCTCCATATGAAGGGGTCTGAGATGTAAATACAGAGAGCTGGCGCAACGAAGGCACCTGTAAAGATAAATGTTTGTGTTTCATAAAACATGTATTTTATATATAACTAGCTACTTCCGCGCGGTTTCACTGCCTGGTCAGCTCCTATTGGTCGTAGCGTGATGTTTTATAGGCTATAGCCATCCTCGATAAATGCGCTATGCAACACAAAAATAATTACTCAAATCAGACTTGTACTTACGGAGATAAGCACGTTCAAACAAAAAAACAAACTCTTCCGCTTTATATAATAGTATCCTTACTAATATTATAAATCGGAAAGTGAGTTTGTTTGTTTCACTTTCGCGCCGTAACTACTGAACCGATTGCTTTGAATTTTTGCAGACGTGAAGTTAGAAGTCTGGATTAAATAATAGGGTACTTTTTAACCCGGAAAAATTTGATATTCCCGAGAGAAAACAAAAGTATTGGTATAGATGGCGCTGTATGTATATTGTATGTTACATACGCTACTTTTTATCCTTTTGTGACGCGATCTATAAGTGACACCTTACAGAACAAGATTAGTTTAGGTATTACATCAAGGATTGTTTAGGCTTAAGGGAGATACATACATATCTCCCTTGTGATGTGCCGTCACAGGCGTTTCACCGGGGGGTTCTGGAGTCTATTATAGAGGACTCAGTGCCCCCCATAGGTGATGATGGTGGCCACCGGGGTCGTTTTAGTGAGGTAAGAATCCCACACTCCCTAGTTTTCTATCCCCACAAAAGCTGTCGCGGAAAACCTAACGGGTTACCGGGGCTCCGGCTTAAAGTGCAGGAGAAGGAACGGGGTGGTTTTTAGTCAGTAAGAGTCTGACACTCCCTCCCGCCTGGATAAAGCGGGAGGGAGTGTAGTAGTACTACTGGGTTTAAAAAAAATCAGTAGTAGCACGGAGCCTGGAAATGTGCCCGGTATATGGCAATAGGCTGACCCTCCATTGCATGGGAATATAACATAAATATTGAAAAGTGGGTGTTTTGTACATTGTACAGTGGCATTAAATGCTGTAAAGTGCACCTCTGCCTACCCCTTTGGGGATAGAAGGCGTTATGTTATGTTAGGATTAATAGGATAATAAAAATCTCGCTTACCAACAAGTGCCCCTATAAGACACTGGTGTGGGAAATGCGTGGCGATGAAGATGCGCGCCAGTATCACGGAGATGAGCGCCAAGCCGCAGAATGGATACATCACGGACTTCCACCACCAGAAGCACCATTGTTTACTAAAATAATCAAACAGTAATTTACATAAAACAAACAAAAAACAATAATCAAAACAGTAAGCGAAGTGTAAGAGAACCATTTTATGTTCCCTAAAATAAGAAGGTTAATTTCGTTAGTAGTAGTTTCTTTTTTAGTAACTAAAATTCTATTGTTCTCGTTCATTTTTATAGAGGTATTTATAGTTTTTTATCACTTAAGTAATTAAATGTTAGTTAACCTATAATTGGCGACTGTATAAGCCTAAATACTAATGTTACTTTCATATCACTTAATGCTATGTATATAATATATACAAAAGCTGTTGGTATACCTATTTAATTAAATAAAAATAAATAAATAAATAAACCATGCTTCGGCACGAATGGGCCGGCTCGACAGGAGTACCACGGCCTCACAGAAAACCGACGTGAAACAACCACAGCGTTGTGTTTCGTCTTGTGTGTCCTTTCCCTTCACCTCATTCTCAATCCGCATCCCACAAATTCCCCCTAAAAGGCCCGGCATCACAATGTAAGTCCTTGTCTTTTGGTGTTCCAGGTGTCCATGGGCGGCGCCGATTGCTTACAAGGATCACCTCGTAATGATTCGTCTGCTCGTTGACCGAACTATGCCATAATAAATAAAAAACTTTTTAAAAATAGGCTTTGTGCAATTTACTGTAATATCGTCGGGGATAGTGCAAATCCGCGAATCTATCATACGTAAAGGCCGCGTATCTGCAATAGATCGTTTTACAGGGGAAGGTTAAAATTTAATGATTTTATTAATTCAATGAATTTAAAGCTCAATTTTACATATTGAAAATATACAAAATAAACTCGTGTCAAGGCGGTGTGGCAGCCAATTGATATTTTAGGGGATTTTATCGCGAATACTTAAGATAGCTACATTTGTGAGATACACGGAATTGTTCAATGCGAGTTCCGCGGATTTGCACTATCCCCGACGATATACTATATTAAATTGAAATATGAGAATATGGGATGAATATGTGTTAAGTCTGTGCAAGTGTTTATTAGTGTGTATTTGTTGTGTGTATTTGTCGTGTGTATTTGTCGTGTGTACAGTGTGTAGTAAAATGACCTCACATAAACGTACAAGGTGCTTACTCTTGAAACCAATCTCAATGTTAATGCAATTTTATTCCAATAAAATCTCAATAACGATTCAATGTCATAACTATACAACCCCTGTCGTAGCTGTTAAAGTAGCAGATATCAAAAAAAAAATTCATGGATTCGAGCTGTTGTTTACATGTTTTGGTGTGTTCGCTAAAAATTGTATCTATTAATAATGTAATAAATGTAAAATATAAGTTTATTAATAAGACTAACAAAAACCACTAGCACTACTGCAATTGGCTTACTGCCACGTGTACGGGGACGTCATGCATTCGTAAATGTTCTACAGTCGGTAGCGCTGTGGGCTGGGTCGTTCCGTTCCCTACGAAATGGTTGATCGGACCGATTGCTGGCCTACACGTCATACCCGTGAACGGGTGCCTTCTGCTGGAACAGGTCGGCTCGTTCATAGTGCTGGTGGGCTGATTAAGTAGGGTTAGTCTAAGATAATAAGACTATAATAATTAGGTAACAACATAAAGTATTGTGTGTAGTGATAGTGGTAGGCGTAGCATGTAAGATATTTATTATAAAAAAAAAAATATATTTGACCATGACAATTATGTACTTGTAACATGTAACAAGGGCACGGACACGAGTCCGTGGAGAAATTCAATTTATTATTTATTAAAAACAAAAAGTAGCATTCAGAGGACATACGGAATATAAAGCTAAACTTAATACCATTTAGTACATTCAATATCCACGCAATACGGATGCAATGGGCGCTAGTGTTGCAACTCAAGAGTAGGAAATTTCACACTAATGTCGATCGATCGGAATTGGATTCACGAGTAAGCCAGGTCAACGTGAGGACGTCCGTTATTTAAAGTCGGAGCTAGTGTTGCGACTCAAGAGTACGAAATTTCACAATACCAATGTCGATCGATCGGAACTGAATTCAAGAGTAAGCCAGGTCAACCTCCGTTATTAGAAGTCGGATAAAAAGAACTTACCGATCATACATAACATGTGATAGCCACATGAGAATCAGTATAAGGATCATGGCAGCCGTACTAGTATGTCCCGAGGGACTGCCCGGGCCAGTCTCACAAGTCTGCAACGTCTGCCTAAGCACCGGTCTACTGGATGACGGATAAAATGTGGTCTCCCTGACCCACCAGTACGGCCTGTCTTCTAGGAACCACCTGGAAATATTATAAAAATATTGATTAATTTTAATTATAATGATTTTCGACGTATAAAACAGACTTTTTTTAAAAGAGTAACGAGTGGAGTTTCTTGCTCGTTCTTCTCCACTCGTATCGACATTTTGGAACGAGCGCCTAGCTTCACTGACGGACTGACTGACAGACTATTATTTATTTCATATTTGTTGACGTTTCAAAAGTACCAAATTATGGTTTAATTGAAATAAATGCTTTTGAGTTTGAGTTTATACTCTTAATGACCTTCGGGCGTCGGAGATCGCGCGACAATCTCTGAGGTCGTAAGTGCGGGTCTGCGGACGGCGAGCTAGGGTAGGTCGCCGCCCGACCAGAACCAGACCCGTGCGCACGGCGCGTCGCGTTCCGCACGCGCCTCAAGGAACAATCAGACCACCACAGATGAGACCCAGTAGGGCTGATGCCCGATACGGAGCCGCGGAAGACCTAACGGGTTGCCAGGGCTGCCAGTAGGAACGGGGTGGTTTTTTGTGAGTAAGAGTCTGACACTCCCCCTCGCCTAGGCCTCGCATACCCAAGGCGGAGAAGTCATTGGATGATTTTTCCCCTCTCAAAAAAAAAGGGTATGCGCGCTGTCGACGCGTTATGTGTCACGGAATACTGCTCATGAATATGAGCCTCTAACATGGTTAAAAACTAGTCGACTTTTTCATCATACAGCTAATACAGTAATCCGAGAACATAATAACTGACTGCACGGTTGGTGCGGTGGCTGGGCAACCGGCTGCCGTGCAACGTGTCGCGGGTTCGATTCCTGCACGGGACAACACTTTGTGTGATCCACAAATTGTTGTTTCGGGTCTGGGTGTCATTGTGTATGTGAACTTGTATATTTGTAAACGCACCCACGACACAGGAGAAAATCCTAGTGTGGGGCAACGATTTTTTTTTTTTTTTAAAGTAATTTATTATATCTCATGAACGTTATATAATACAAAATTAACTTTATATTATTGCCTCATTGGCCGAGTGGTCGCAAGTACATTACCTACTGGGTTTGTTAAGCAAACTCAGTAGTAGCACGGAGTCTCGAATTGGGTACATGGGAATAACATAAATAGTGAAAAGTGGGTGCTACATTGTACAGTGGCATTAACATAACATCACGTCTTTTATCCCCGAAGGGATAGGCAGAAGTGCACATTATGCCACTGTACAATGTAACACCCACTTTTCACTATTTATGTTATGAGTCCCGTGTAATAGGGGGTGAGCCTATTGCCTAATTGGAATTCAGACTCCGTGCTACTACTGAGAATTTTTAAAACCCCAGTAATACTTTGCTCGATCCGGGAATCGAACCCGAGACCTATTGCCCGGCAGTCGCACTTGCAGTGGCATTACAGTGGCATTAAGTGCCGTAATGTGCAACCTGTGCCTACCCTTTCCGCGATAAAAGGCGTGATGTTATGTTATGTAATTTTATATCCTACAGCAGAACACACAACACAAACAATATATATACATATACATACCATTTCATAACAGCGTTCAGCCAGCCACCGAAAGCAAGGCACAGTAACAGTTGAGCGGCAAACACGGAGTCTATGATCGTCATCAACGGGAACAGGATGTCTATCATATGCTCCGGATCAAATACCTTGTTCACCAGCTCGAAGAATCCGTCATAGTCCGCCAACCTGAAGAGATAAAAATGGTACTTATTTATATGTATAATTATTAATTGGCTAGTTTCCTTGGTTTAAAATAAATTGTTTCAACAGCAATAAATAATTAAAAAATTAAAAATATTTTTTAATTATTAAAAATAAAAATTATTTTTTAATTTCCAGAACAAACAAAGTGGCCGAATAGGCCGAATACCGAATAGTAGCCGAATATTCGTGACATGTCTAAAAATAATCATAATCTCATCCATTGATTTGACAGTCTACTTACTTTTGGAATTTTTCTCGCTAATTTTAAGGCTAATTATGCTATTTGACGCAGAAATAATTATGATGACGTCGTAAGTTGCGATCCAATACAAAATTCATAGAACAGTATCGTTTTTGACGTTTCGATAAAAGTAATGAATTTGACTAGTTGTCAAATACCGTATTATAATAATTTCAATTCAAGTCTACGTCACCTCAACTATTTGTAGGTACATATTTTATACAGTAAAATAGTTGTTAATATTTATATGTTTACTAACCCAATTGTTTTGTCCTTTCAGCTACTAACTACTAAAACCTACGGCAAAGTTAAGTTCGACGGTTCATTAATCTGCCGTCACCACCCCACACTGGCAGTATAGTCAACAACATAGCATTGGAGACTCGGTTGCAAAAGAAAAAAAAATTAAATTCAAAAGTTTTCTTTAAAAATTTTCATTTTTCATCGATGATCAGTTAGGAAGGTGAAAAAAATTAATAGAGAAAGAATTTTAATACTAAGCTGTAAGAATTAATAGTAATTAAGAATTAATTCTTCTTCTACTTATGGTGCCACTTCAATCCTGAAGGTTGGCCGTCAACGGCGTCAACTTTATGAATTGGTCCTTGTCATTGGCCAGGCAGAAAAGTTGTTCCAGAGAGCTGATACCAGTCCACTCCCGAATATTGCGCAGCCACGACTTTTGCCTTCACCCAGCGCTTCACTTCCCTTCCACCTTACCCATCATTATAAGATGAAGCAGCATGTATCTCTAATATCTCAGTACGTAACCGAGATATTCTATCTTGCCCTTTATCTTCTTCTATTTAAGGATTGATAGTAAAACATAACTTAACTCTTTGAGTACCGTCATTATAGACACAATTAAAGAACAATAGGTTGCGGTCACCGGTGTCTTAGCGGTGTTTTACAGTTTATTATTATTAATTTATTACTATGTAAGTGCTTAGATATAAGACCTAGTGTAGCAACTACGGATTGTCCAAATTATAAATAAATAATTAGCAGACAAACATGTAGTCTGGAACTATGCCCGAAGAATAGCCAAAAGCTTGCCAATTTTATAGGCAAAGACAACTAATGTTACACAATTATCTGAAGATAAGGTAATTATGTACTGACTATATCTAAAAATAGTTCTAGTACCTGTACCTACTATAATTATTATAATGAATAAATAATTATAAAACTAAACATGTTGCATAAATGAAATATTGTTTGTGTTATTTGCTCAGTAAATGCAATTATTTTGTTGGTAATAAAAGTATATGTATTACTGGGAAAAGTAGTTTAATATAATAATAAATAAAGAAAAAAGAAGCAAAAATTTTTCATTTTAAATTTCGAGTAAATAATACAAAGAGTTCTATGAGAGAGCAATGACGTGTACCTAGGTATTTTAAATCGTTTTTAACCACGTGAGTTAAATAAAAATTAAAGAGATAAATAAAATGTACAAGGAATTAAAAATAATTAAAATCATTTACCAGTATTGTATGACCTCTATGCAGGCGACACCAAAAGCATATATTTGCTCCATCGTAGAACTTTGTAGTGTATTTTACAGTAACATTATAATATTAATACACTACGCCCGTCGTATACTTGCGCGATAATAATTATTGCCGATTTTCTAACCAAAACAAATCAATCCGCGATCAATATTAATTTTGAAAATGAAACAAATGTCAATACTCAGTATTATGTCAACGCAATAGTCAATGTCGAATTCTGACGTCTTATTTTGAGATGTTTGAAAACACGTATAAAAATTTAAATAAATATATACTAAATTTAATTTTTAATTCAGTACCTTTATACTACAATCATTTAATTTTAATGGGAGTGTAATTTATTATAAAATGATTTGATCTTTGACTTATAATTTTTAAATGTCCGATAGTAGTGTCATCTAGTATTATTCTCCAGAACCATTTTTGAAAGTGTGGTTGTAGTTTTTTCTACTCGATAAAAGATGGCGTGTTTCCCTTGTAAAATAATGATGAAAAACTAATCAATGTAAATACGTTAATTAATAAATAGAAACTTGATAGAATTAGAATTCTTAACTGTTTACAACACATGACTGAACTCACACCTTCCTCCCATCGGGGCAGGCAAAAGGTAGGAGCTGAGTTTTTGGTTAGAAAAGTATTTTGTTCCTGAATGAAGAAGATGCTTTAATACAGGATTTTAGACTGCTTCTTTACTCACTTATGTAGGTAAAGAAAATTCTGAGAAGATTAAAAACCAAATAATAATTTTGTTACTATCAAGACTTTTGGAACTTCAGGGATAATTTGGAGAAGTAAAATATTTTAACTTTCATCAATGAAATTAACAAAACATTGCAAAAAATCAAGACAAGCAATACAAGGCAAGAAATAACCTTTTCGTTAGTAACAACCCATGACTAAAATAAACAAACAAATTAATTTAAACATTTCCCAAAAACAATAAAGCAAAAAATTAATCCTGAAAACGTCTACACATAGTCAAAAAACAATTTGTTAGATTATCAAAAGGTTAACGCGTTGAAACGACGCTAGATGGCGTTGGCAGCTCGCTTGGGACGCGTATTAGTGTGTTAATAATTGAATATTATACTATGGTAGCGATACAGTGGGCAAGACAAGTTTGAAACGCCGTCAAATATTATTTTTGAGTACAACAGGCAATAATAACATTTATTTTATAATATATCCTACTTTTTTCGTTTACCTGTGGTTCGAAGTGTGGGAGAGCCATGCTTGGGCACGAATGGCCGGCTGAACAAGACTACAGGAGTGATACCACGGCCTCACAGAAAACTGCCGTGAAATAACACTTGCGTTGTGTTTCGTCGTGTGAGTGAGGTTACCGGAGGCCCAATTTTCCCTACTCCCCAATCCCCGAATCCCGAACAATCCTCAAAGTCCTAATCCTCAAAAGGCCAGTAATGCGCTTGTAACGCCTCTAGTGTTCTGGGTTTTTATGGGCGCCGATTGCTTACAATCAGGTGATCTGTCTGCTCGTTTAGTGGTTTATACCATAAAAAACAAATCGTCAGCACACGGCTAGACAAACATTAATATACTACCTACCTATTTACCTATTGTGGCTATTGTTACTAGTATTAATTTCCACAAAAATCGTCATTGAACAACACAGAATATTACCTAAAATGCGAACACAAGCACAATCTGTTGTCTGCACTGTACGTCGATGTAAACTTCGCTCAGATTTGGCCAAATTTAATCTTAGCAGCGGCGGCGATGTCCTGAGTTAAAGGAGACGGGAGATCCCGCGATATATCGCAAGGATATTCATTGAAATAATCTTACTATTAATATAAAAAAAACGAATAACGAATGGAGTTTCTTGCTCGTTCTTCTCCATTCAAATCTACATTTTGGTACGAGCGCCTAGCTTTCAGATAATTCATTATTTTGTATTTGTTGACGTTTCAAAAGTACCAAATTATGTTTTTTTTCCTTTTATACCTACTATACCTAATCTGTCGTCTTCTTTGGTAAATTCAGCAGTATGTTGGACGTTACTGTAGTTAGCGTTTGCGGCATGTGACCTGTGTCACAACCTCTTCATAAATACAGTTTATTTATTGTAGTTGGATCACATCTTGTGCTATTCTACGCTTTAATCGACGCACAGCCTTGTGTTCGTCCATTTTTTTATGGCATAAGCCGTTAACTAGCAGACGGACGGATAAACACCTGATGGCAAGCAATCGGCGTCGCCCATGAACACCTGGAACATCAGAGGCGTTACAAGTGCGTTACCGGCCTTTTGGGGATGAGGAGTTTGAGGATCGTTGGGGCTTCAGCAATTGGGGAGGTTGGAGAAGGGGATGGTATTTGGGCGTCTGGTAACCTCACTCACACGACGAAACACAACGCAAGCATTGCTTGACGTCGGTTTTCTGTGAGGCCGTGGTATCACTCCGGTCGAGCCGGCCCATTCGTGTCGAAGCATGGCTAAGAAAAAGTGACGGTTGATGGTTTAATTAAAATAAATGCTTTGACTCTACGAAATTTTGTAAGTTTGTGTTCTTATGTCTATGTGTTTGTTTGTTACACAATCACGTGAAAACGGCTGGAGGGATCGGGGAGTCAATTTGGAACAGGTATAGATTATGGTGTGTACTATAACACACATAATTTTTTTAAGGGGGAAAATTCATCGAATGACTGTTCCCGCTTCCGCCTGGGTGTGGCGGGAAGGAGTATCAGAATATTACTGACTAAAAACCACCCCGTTCCTTCTCCTGCACTTCGAGCCGGAGCCCCGGTAACCCGTTAAGTTATCCGCGGCTTCGTATCGGCATCAGCCCTATTGGGCCCCATGCGTGGTGGGCGGATGGCTCTTAAAGGCGCGCGCGGAAAGCGACGCGCCGTACGCACTTTTACACACTTAGGTACGCGGGCGAAGCGATGGGCAGAAGCTAGGTCAATAAACGACACAACGAGCTCGCGTTGTCAGTTGCAAAGCGGCGCTTTCCTAAGAGGTCGTTGCATCACTCCGGTCGAGACAATTTCCCGGTGCCCAAATATTATGGCTCTCCTATGCTCAAGTAATTTTGTACTTGAAATTGAAATTGTAGCTTCGCCCACGTGAGCAAAATCATAATCAATTAGGTAGGTACACATCTACTAAACCTTTCTCCTTCAAGAATCATTCCTACAGTCTATAGATGAAAACCGTATCTCCGGAGCAGAGGAGATCCTCTATTAGATAGAGGTCATTTTTTTTTAAGTGGGAAAATCATCGAATGACTGCTCCCGCCTGGGTGAGGCGGAAGGGAGTGTCAGACTCTTACTGACTAAAAACCACCCCGTTCCTTCTCCTGCACGTCGAGCCAGAGCCCCGGTTACCCGTTAGGTTCTCCGCGACTCCGAATCGGCATCGGCCCTATTGGGCCCCATCTGTGTCTATTAGAGGTCTTGGTGCCCCTTACAGGTGGTGATGGTGGCCACTGAAGTGGTTTTACTGAGGCAAAAATCCCAAACTCCCTAGTATTTCTCCCCAAAAACCTAGACGCCTTTTGAAGGTCAAATCCACAGAAACAAATATTAATTCTTCTTTATTATATACATATATTACTAGCGACCCGCCCCGGCTTCGCACGGGTATAAACCTTCCTTAAGAATCACTCTATCTATTAATAAAACCACATCAAAATGGGTAGCATAGTTTTAAAGATCTAAGCATAGGTATGTACATAAGGACAGACAGACGGCGGATAGCAACTTTGTTTTATACTATGTAGTGATATATTATCTATGGTAAAAACGGTACAAAAATCACCAAAAATCTTCAGACATGTCCGTCAATACACAACATCGTTTGAACCGTCCACTCTCGTAAACGCGGTATGATCACGTAGAAATTATTGTGTTAAAATATAATCTCCTCTTCTCCCTCTTAGGGAGGGCTGAGGGAGGGAGGGGGCAGGTAAATTAACGTATATTCAAGGTATAAGCGGTGCAGTAGAGTTAGACTTGGTGGACGTATGTACTTATGTGTATAAAGGTTGTTATTCAGTAAAAATAAAAAGCTTTTTCTTATTGTTTGTAAATTCATCATCATCATCATCAACAACATTACATAACATCACGACTTTTATCCCCGAAGGGGTAGGCAGAGGTGGACATTACGGCACTTAATGCCACTGTACAATGTAACACCCACTTTTCACTATTTATGTTATGAGTCCCATGTAATAGGGGGTGAGCCTATTGCCATATACCGGGCACATTTCCAGACTCCGTGCTACTATTGAGAATTTAAAAAATAAACCAGTAATACTTTACCCGACCCGGGAATCGAACCCTCCCTTGCCCGGCAGCATTCGCACTTGCGACCACTCGACCAACATCATCATCAACAGCCTATAAATTCCCACTGTTGAGCAAAGCCTCTTTTCACACGGAGAAGGTTTGACCATTAATCACCACACTTGCTCAATGCGGGTTGGCGATTACAAACTTATAACTAGAAATTATAAGCCCAAGTTTCCTCACGATGTTTTCTTTCACCGTTTGTCAGTGGTGTCTAGATAATCTTAGAAAGTACATATAACTCGGAAAAAGTCACATTGGTACTTGCCGTTGGTAGGTTTCGAACCCGCACCGTCATGCATGAGAAGCGGGCGTCTTAATCCGACCCACCATTTAGAAACAGCCACTGCATTGTGCACCAAAATCAACAATGAAGCTCGATGCTAATCAAGGACGTGAGAACCTCCGGGCCACCACGACATAGTTTGTATTGTGTTTGGTAATGAGCTATAATCAGGAGTAAGAAAAAATATAATCACAAAGTCAAAGTATTTATTTCAATCAATAGTTAATTAGGCACTTTTGAAACGTCTTATATTGAATTATCCGTCCGTCTGTCTGTAAATGAAGCTAGGCGCCTAAATTGAAAGACTTAACCGGGAAATCCGGAGCTATGGATAACCTAACGGATAACCGGGGCTCCGGCTCGACGTGCAGGAGTACGAACGGGGTGGTTTTTAGGTCCCTTTTCACCAAGCTCTGT